ATATATATATATATATATATATATATATATATAGAATGCAGGTAATAAATCCGTTGATTTATAAACCAAGTAGATCCTAGTAATATCAAATATTAAATCTGAGCCACAAAAAGAACTCAATGTATTTATTATAATAGAGCATATAAATTGCACAACAAAATCCAAAATTACCTCATATGGAGAGGTATAGATCTATTTCAACTAAACGTAAGTACGTTAATCTTATTCAACCCCGGTCTATACACTGTGTTCTTGTCGGAATTAGAAATTTAAAATTTAACATTTATCTTTGCCTTTTAAAGTTAAATTTTAAATTTCTAATTCTACACGAACGCAGTCTATACACGGAGGTTGAATAAGACTAGATCTATGCACTCCCGTCATATGAAACCATTTTTGATTTTGTTGAGCAACACATACACACACACACACACACACACACACACACACACACATTAATATATATATATATATATATATATATATATATATATATATATATATATATATATATATAAAGAGAGATATTGATATAGATATAGATAAATATTTCTGTATGTGTGTGCGTGTTCGATATAAATATGTTTAAATTAGAATTACAGCGTTTTTGGTTTGTGTGTGTGTGTGTGTGTGTTAATATCAGAAAGAAGCCAACAGGGACTTTTTTTGTTGATTAAAAACGATCGTAAGTACTGGAGTAAAAACATTATGAACTTTTGGACAGTTCCGGTATAAAATTTGATTCCGGGTGTGAGATAACTTAGAGGCAAACTGTGAAAATATAATAAAATATAATAAAAATATGAAACAATTAAACAGAGACATTGTCAACCGACTTTAATAAAATTCGTTTAAATGCATTTGCGATTATATATATATATATATATAAAGGGAAGAGGTTACGGTAGTTCCAACGAGAGAAAAGTATGTATAATAAAAAGAAGAGAGAAACCGCAAACGTTTTTTATTGTAATGTAGATTTTTTTAAAAAATATATTATGTTTTATTTTCCATAATTTTGCTACACGTGTTTCCGGTCTCGCGACCTTCATCAGGCAAAGAGTGGATATTTTGATATATTATTAAAAGGAATTAATTTTTCTTATGTTTTTCGATGTTAAATATTCTCGATATTAGACATTCTCTTTTTTGTGTGTTAGTGACCCAAATGTCTTTCTATATATATGCCGGCTGTAACAGCAGAATTGTCCAAATAGTGTAACAGCATAGGATAAGTGTCCATCAAATAAAATGTTTAACATCTGAAAAAAGCACTAAACTAATTGAGTTTCTTTTTCACATTTTTTCAGGTAAGACGTTTAGCCATCTTGACATCATTTGTCGTCAGAATCACTGAAAAATCCTTTGAGTTATTTAACTAGAAAGAGAACAGGTTAAAATCGTCTTGTGTCAGCCCCACTATGTCTTCCCAAATGAGCAATGGTGAGGGGAAAAAGATCATTCGGGCCTCCAGTAATTGTAATAACTCTCAATAGAACGGTGAATATGTCTAAAAAAATAGCGAACAGTAGAGAAAAAACTGGATCAGGAGGTAAAAACAGCAAGAGGAATAATCATTTCAAATTAGAGCTACATTCTCATTGTTCAAAGTGTCAAACAGTTTTATAAAAACCTTCGTGTATTCCAGTAAGATATCTTTAATCATTTCTGAGATACAACAGTTCAAAACTTAATCTAACAACTGGACAATTTGCATTACATTTACCGGCCTGAATGTCCGAGAAAGTTCTCTTAACGTAAACAGTGACAACATATGAAATTGATTGTCTGACAATTCAGGCCGGTCAATGTAATTAATACTGTTTAATTAAAAAAAAAAACAGCATTTAATTAAATAAATTGTATCTATTAAAATAACGTGTAAACAGAAAACATTAAATACTTGTCGCACTTAATCCATTTCATAATATGTTGTCATTGTTTATGTTAGATTACATTTCGTGAGCAGGTATGATCGTTCGAGAAAGATCGTCGAAGAGTTTATAAACAGTAATTCGGACTTTGCTAAACATACGCTTCTATGTGGCTAAATGGTATAGCGCGTCGGATCAAATGACGGTTTCTATATAGAAATATGGTGTGAGTTTGTGACCCTGGGTTTCACGCTTTTGCGATTGTCAGACAAACTGATTAATTTTTCATTAAAAATAATAGCAATTTTTACCTATCATAGTTTTAAAATATTATTCAGCGAAAAAATAGAGAAATGGTCTGACTGTTGACATCGCTACATTCAAGAGAAATTGGCTACACATCTCATCATTGAAATTCAACAATCAAATGCGTATCTAGACAACAGCACACATACATATATATATCAAGTCCCATACTGTCCACATATGTTCATATTGGTGTGAGCCCCTGTGGACGAGCGCATGTGTATGTGTGCCTGCGTACTTCAATAAGTGTACGGGCATGCATGTATATTTGTGTTAAGCATGTATGATATCACGACGACAATTTCTCCACCCACCCGCCTACTTCCATAAAAACAGCAATACACGCAACCTACATAAATCCCAAATTTTAAAAAAATTAAACAGTTTTTCTGACGATCGCAAAAGCGATCGTTCCACAAACTCACATCAAACCAACTATATATATATATATATATATATATATATATATATATATATATATATTTTTTACAGTAATGTCTTCGTAATTTTTACAGAAATTCCGTACTGCAGACCTGTTTTTTCATACATATATTAAATAGAG